ATTCCATATTAAAAATTACATTATTGGTTACTTTATTTTTAATTCATTGGGTAGAGCAATGATTGTTACCAACGAAACAAAGCAGATGCCAGCATCAGGAACGTCGGACAATATACACAAAATTAAATTAGAATTTAACCTTAGGGGAATATTAGAAAGTTTTGAATTGGAAATGGAGTTGTGGATAAGTGGTATGAGTTACCCTCTTTTATTATAGAGGCAAGCAGTTTAACGGGTTTCAGGAATAAATTATAAATTATATATATATATATATATATATATATATATGCGAACAAGCCTGAATGGTCCCCAGGACAATATGCAACTGAAAACTCACACCCCAGAAGTGACTTGAACCCATACTCCCAGGAGCAACGCAACTGGTATGTACAAGATGCCTTAATCCACTTGACCATCACGACCGGACAAAATGAGGTGATAGCCGAAGCTATTTGAACCACCCCACCGCCGGCACACGGATGGTAATCTTGGGCATAGCATTTTACCAAATCACCTCATTCTTTGGGGCACACGTGAGGAACACAAATGCGAACAAGCCTGAATGGTCCCCAGGACAATTTGCAACTGAAAACTCACACCCCAGAAGTGACTCGAACCCATACTCCCAGGAGCAACGCAACTGGTATGTACAAGACGCCTTAATCCACTTGTCCATCACGACCGGACCAAATGAGGTGATAGCCGAAGCTATTTGAACCACCCCACCGCCGGCACTCGGATGGTAATCTTGGGCATAGCATTTTACCAAATCACCTCATTCTTTGGGGCACACGTGAGGAACACAAATGCGAACAAGCCTGAAGGGTCCCCAGGACAATATGCAACTGAAAACTCACACCCCAGAAGTGACTCGAACCCATACTCCCAGGAGCAACGCAACTGGTATGTACAAGACGCCTTAATCCACTTGACCATCACGACCGGACAAAATGAGGTGATAGCCGAAGCTATTTGAACCACCCCACCGCCGGCACTCGGATGGTAATCTTGGGCATAGCATTTTACCAAATCACCTCATTCTTTGGGGCACACGTGAGGAACACAAATGCGAACAAGCTTGTACATACCAGTTGCGTTGCTCCTGGGAGTATGGGTTCGAGTCACTTCTGGGGTGTGAGTTTTCAGTTGCATATTGTCCTGGGGACCATTCAGGCTTGTTCGCATTTGTGTTCCTCACGTGTGAGGAACACAAATATTAAGCATCATAACGAATGTCAACAAACCAGTAACACACTGAATCGCATTAGCATCATAATGCCACTTTGATATTAATGATACAAATGATAATTAATAATAGACTTAAAGTCATTATATAGATATATTTCTTTGTTGTAGAACATAACAATCGTCAAAGCAACACTGATCTTGTTGTATAATTAAATTTATAATTCAGCTCATGGATATCATAGTGTTAGTAATCCTGGCGATGAATGGGATCTTTGCAATTGTTTGTAATGTAGGCCTCATATTCTGAAAAATTATTGTTGAGATGGTTTGGTTTTTCGTAGGCCTAAATGTAGGTATAGATGGTGTCATTTGGATTAGCAGAAGTCTAGTAAAGGTGGTGGCTATAAGCGTTGAGTGGCCGGTAACCGTAATTAGAGAAGACTGAGTAGGATGGTTCAGGATCTGCAGACCTCTTGTAGAAATGGGGGCCATAACCGTGACGGGGAGCGTAGTAGACAGGATACGACGGTTCAGGCTCTGGTTCGGCAGATCTCTTGTAGAAATGGCGCATATAAACGTGACGAGGAGCGTAGTAGACAGGATACGATGGTTCAGGCTTTGGTTCGGCAGACCTCTTTCCATTGTGGTAACGGTGACTGTATGCAGGGTAAGCACTACCGTATTTGCTCGTCACGTAACTGGGCTCCGCATCTCGCTTCTCAATCACAGAAGCGCAAGCGGCAGCCGCCAGGATCACAAACACCTAAATATGAAAAATTACACGTATAGTCATATAATATTTTGCAGTAAAGTACTGTATTGCAGTTCTTGTATACGAAATATTCCTTAAAAATACCACCACTTTCCTTGATATTAAATATAATGCATTATAATAAATATTAACCAATATCAGAGAGTCCGATTGTTAGTGCAACTTACCAAGAGCTTCATGACTGAACGTTGGTTAGCTGTGGCCACAACTGAGCGAGTGTGTCTTGCAGCAGTGATGCCGGGGCTTTTATACGGGAGAGTCCTGAGTCCTTGAATTGTAACTCGAGGTTATAATGACGTTCCACTGAGAAATATATAATTATTATTGTTTCTTATTTCTTTATTATATTAAATAATTCAATATATAATAAAATCCTTATTTTAATATAAGGTTTTCTTTTAAGTTAATAATTAAAATTCCCTTGTTAAATGTCAAATATTAAATATATGAATATGTTTTACTTCTCGTTAAGGTATTTAAACCGCAGATAAGTTATTAAAACTCCAACATGAGATTACTTGACAATCACTTAACATATTTCAGTCTTGAGCATACTCAAGGACCAAGGTCAAATATTCGTGCACATATTGAATATTGTGAGACGCCTTTTGGTGTATATGTAATACTTCCTAAGATTAACACGAAATTGTAAAAGGTGCATTCTCTTAAACATAACGCCATACCAACTAGTGCTAGACGTTAAAAGTAGTTTATAGTATATTCTAGATATTCTGGCGAATTTGGTAAAACACTTTAATGAGATTTACAAAGAAAGCTAAAATATGTTTTTGTTAATTCCTGTTTATTTTTTAATTATTAAACTTTAAAAAATAATGGTCCCCCCAGCTCTATTCTTATTAAATTCAGATCCATTCTAAAAAATTTTGACTTCCCTGAATCCGCCGCAAAAAAACTCGTTACTGTGTGTGGCTCAGTGGATGTGCCATTATTCTTATGAAACTGGATGTGCCTCTTAATCCTGATAAAAATGTTCACTATATTCCCCCTTGGAAAGATGATCAGGTCTCTTTTCATTATACCCACATCAATATCAAAGATATGTATAACACTGAAAATATGAGATGTATAACATTAAAAGCTTTTGACAGTCTTCTTCAAAATCTCAAATCAACTGAATCCTTTGGCTTTAATGATGGCTCTGTGCAATTAGGCACTGGTAGAACAGTTTGTGCATGTGCAATATATAATGGGAATGAAATTATCATGTCTAGTACACAGAGATTGGACAACTGGTCAAGCACAACACAGACTGAGCTATTGGGTATTTATCTGGCCACTGACTACATCAAGCTCAATGGTGGTGGAGTGATATTCTGTGATTCTAAAAGTGCTCTGCAGTCCTTAAATAACCCATCACAATTTATGTCTGAAGTAGCTTGAAATATTAAATGTAATGTAATTTTTGCCGATGATAATAACTATTGTATAAAATTGGTGTGGATACCATCCCATGTAGGAGTTGGAAAACAGAACTTTGTATATCAACTGGCATATGACGCTTGCAGGAATGAAAAAAACTGGTTATGATTTTGGATTATCTAATGCAATTATTAGAAACATACAAATTAAAGAAATTTATTAAGATTTATAAGAACTAAGAAATGCCCAGTGACTTGAACGCTGCAGTATTAAAAGATATGGCAACTTTTGTAATAATAGGTATTTGTATGGTCAGCACAGTAACCGGACCAAGCAATTTGATGTAGTCATTACGCGAATTCGCCTTATCTATAGGCATATCTGGCAGGTTAGTCAGGATGAGCCACTACCAGAATATTCAGATTCTAAACTCAGTGACAAACCTTTAATACATTCATTAGAACACATTATTGTTGTATGTGAAGCCGTAAAAGATTTTAGACCTCCTGGCCTATTGTACCACCCACTGTGTAACTATTTCATTTAATCTGGTTTACTGGACGACATCGTAACAATTTATTCAAAATTTGCTTGGGTATTTTAAGAATGAAGAACAATTTTATTTAATTTTTTTAGGATGCATCTCTTATAAACCCATCTCTGCCTTGTGTGGCAGTGCACAATAGAAAGTTTATTTTACATATTCATACATTGAAACAATGCCTGTAATCATGATATTATATATCTGTTTCAGCATACAATTTAGACCTATTGTCCTGTGTATGACCCTCTGTCCTGTATGACAGTGAATACCAGCATTATCCTTAATTTAATAAGACTTAATTGAAATCTTCAGATTAGGCAAAACTGTAATTAAATTTTGTCAATAAAGATGTTAATAATAAAAAAGTGTTGGTAAAGAAGTCAACAGGGAGTTTGGTAAAGAAGCTAACAGATTGAGTGTTGATAGGGTCAATTGGGAGAGTGTTGGTAAGGAAGCCTAAAGGGGGAAGTTTTGGTAAGGAAGCATGCAGGGAATGTTAGTAAGGAAACCTACAGGGCGTGTTGGTAAAGAAGCCAACCGGAATTGTGTTGGTAAGGAAACCTACAGGGGAGTGTTGAAAAGGAAGCCAAAAGGAAGTGCTGATTAGGAAGCCAACAGGTTGAGTTGTAGTAAGGAAGCCAACTGGGGGGAGTGCTATAAGGAAGCTAAAAAAGGTGTGTTGGTAAGAAAGTCAACAGGGAATATTGATATGTAAGCCAACATGGAATGTTGGTAAGGAAGCCAACAGTGAGTGTTGGTAAGTAGAAGTGGAGGTGGAGTGGAGTAAGGAAGCCAAAAGGGAGTTTTCGTAATATGGTTTCCAGGGGCTCCAGCTTATTGACGGCAGGTCATTCCTCTCGGAAGCTTTGTGGTGGTCATGCCAATATTAGATCGGGGATGACATCCTTCATTGTGGCATGTAAATTTGTATACAAAGTTTGTTTTTTGCAGATGGTTGTATTGTTTATTGGGGCTGTATTAAATCAGCAGTCCATTTTGTTTTGCAGTATTTTAGTGAGCCTACAGGGTGCTGTCGACGCCATTCTCGGAATATTTTAGTGCTCCTATGAGGTGATGTCAAGGTCATTCACGAAATATTCTATTGGAATACGAAGTGATGTCGACGTCATTCGCGGAATATTTAACAGGCCTATGGGGTGCTGTCGACGTCATTCACGAAATATTTCAGTGGGCCTATAGGGTGCTGTCGACGTTTTTCACCAGAGAATATAGTGAGGTGCTGTCGACATCATTCATGGAATATTTTAGCGGGCCAACGAGTAGCTCTCGACGTCATACACAGAATATTTAACAGATCTACGGGGTGCTGTCGACGTCATTCACGGAATATTTTAATACGTCATCGAGCTGCTGATGACATCATTCACGGAATATTTTGGTAGGCCTAAGAAGTGATGTTGATGTCTTTCACGAAATATTTTAGTGGGCCTATGAGGTGCTTTCGACGTCATTCACGGAATATTTTAGTACGCCTACGAGGTGCTGTCGACATCATTCCCGGAATATTTTAGTGGGCTACGAGGTCCTGTTGACATCATTAATCGAGTATTTTAATAGGCCTACGAGGTACGGTCGACGTTATTCACGGAAAGTTTTAGTGGACCTACGAAGTGATGTCGAAACAATCAAACTAGCACCCAATAGGCCCTGTTTACACTACTAATAATCTCTCTCTCTCTCTGACACGCTCCCATTCCTTCACATGCCTGAAGCATTTTGCTATTTCATATCGCCGCCATGTTGCCTCTCCCTACCATATCTTCCCTCAACCCGTTATCGCACTTTCGTATAGTCAATATTGACTTATTAAATGCGTGCATATGTGACATAATTAACATACTAGTTTACCTTGAAAAGCTTCGTAGAAAACACCGACCATACTTAACCTTCTTAGTATATTAAGATAAACATCTATTGCTTCGTAAATACAATTATTACTTAACCTATTATAGGTATAGGTTAAGTAATAATTGTAATTACGAAGCAATAAGATGCTTATCTTAACATACTAAGAAGGTTAGGCAAGGTCGGTGTTTTCTGTGAAGCTTTTCAAGGTAAACTAGTATGTTCAGTAAGTCACATATGCACGTATTTAATAAGTCAATATTGACTGTAAGAAAGTGCGAAAACGGGTTGGTTCCCTCTCCCTTCTATGCTCTCTCTCTCAGCCATGCTCCCTCTCTGTCACGTTTCCTCTCCCGGCCATTCTCCATCTCCTCTCATCGCTCGTGCTCTCAGTTACACTCAATTTGATTTAGAAATCTGATTTAGTTATTTTCCACTGTGACTTTTTTTTTAGTATGTTCACTTGTAAACTTATTTGCTACCATGCACCTCATATTCTTATTTTCCGAAAATATCAGTGATAAATAATGAGTTGATTAATATACAACATCAGCAATAGTTCAGAGCGGAGATGGAAAGAGGCGGATAGAAATATTTTCGTGATGCAAGGGATGGAATCATGAAGAGTAACGCTTTGTGTTTCGCTTATAAAATCCTTGGAAGCACTCAGAGCTGTGGCAAGGATGAGCGTAATCATGTAGTGAGGTAGACCTTAAACGCGAGAAACCAGAGAACACGATCAGAACGACCTTATGGAGGCCTTACTAGTGATAAGAGACAATGATGCTCGTGGTACAATATGTATAAAACTTTTCATTGTGAAAAGATTAAAAAAAATTGACACAATAGAACTGAGGCAATAAAGATGATATTTAGAGTGGATTGAATCTCTCTTTATAATAAGTTATACTGAATCATTTATAAATTAAGGAAGCTTAACTTGTGTTGAAACAGGTTAAAACAATTACATAAAAATCATCTTACTAGGCACAATAAAGTTAATAAGTACTGCTACAAGATCTCTACAAGCTCGCTGTTATTAGTGCGTGTTTTCCACTTCAGGAAACTGAGCGGTAAGTGAGTAATTTACTGAGTCAACCATCAAGACTTTCTTGATACACATTGTGGCCAGAGCTTTTATTTCAGTGGTATCTCAAGGTCATTCACATAGGTGAAAGAAGAATGTAACATTTGTATTACTGTGATTCACAAGGTCGGCCAGTTATAGACTCTTCCTCTCTGCTTTTATGTTCCATTGTTTTTGCTCTTTAACTTATATTTGTAAGATTTGATTGTCATTTTATTTAGTTCTTCCACACACACACACACTTCACCCTAACCACACTTTACTTCGCCCTATCCAATCTTTACTTCTCCCTAACCACAGCTTACTTCACCCTACCCACACCGTGCTTCCACTTAACCATACCC